CTGTTTCTTTTGAATCACGAGCATCAGCAGTCATTACTTCATCTTCCTATAATAACATAATAAAAAATGTTCAAGTCAATCATTACATAAATAAATTTATTACACAAGCAGCAATTACCTTTGTTTGCTTCAAGTCCTTAATGACATTATGAATGGTGCTGTCAACATGCATTTCCAACTCTTGTGTGTTTATGCTTGCTTGAGCAGGAGTGAGTATCATGTCATCTTCATAGATTGCTGAATTCTCTTTTTGGGCACATATGGGATTTACATCCTCACTTCCAAGTTCTTTCTTATCCTCAATGCCTAGACCTTCAGCCATCTCACTGCCTGTACCACCTTCTGCCTCCTCACTTCCTAGACCTTCTGCCTCCTCACTTCCTAGACCTTCTGCATCATCCTCACCGCCTAGACCAACTTCATTATTTTCTATTATTCTTTCCTTCTCTTTCTGTGTTAGATCCAGATGTAGGCCAAAACTTGGCATATCTGAGACCAAAATTGATTTATCTATTCCTCCTTTTGATGCTTCATGAATCTGCACATGGATTTCTTCTTCGCTTTTTTCACCTTCTGCATTTCCAGTGCTTTTAAGCATTAAAGCTTTCAGCATCTTTACCTGCTGCTTTTGCCCTTTCAGAACTTCTTGTATTCCATCTTCTATTGTTTTCATTCTTCTCTCAAACTTTTGCATCTTCTTTGATTGGAGCACCACTGCAGCCATTATGTTATGCATGATTGTTTCATCTCTGCTTTGGTTGCCAACATTTTTTTTTCTTTTAATCAAACTATTTAACCTCTTTAATCCAATTGCAGTTGGACCCTTGGCAATTTGTTCCTTCAAGTCAGTATCTTCTTCATTAGGGCAATCAATCAGTGCTGCTTCAGACTCCTTTTCATGAAGTCAGTATCCTCTTTGATCCCCATTTTCTTCTTTACTCCTTTCCATAGAAACATTTCTTTTCTGTTTTGCTGGCCCACGTTTCAAAGTAAGACGACCTGTTCTGACAGGCTTATTGACCTTGTTTGCATAAAAAGCATTTATCAATGGATTCTTAAGCTCGTCTTCAGTTGGTACCATTTTCTGATATTCAAACCGCAATACATAAAGAAATTATGCATACAATTAGTTAGTGCACATCATAAAGCATGAACTTAAATTACATATAATACAGACATTAAAAACAATTTTACCTCTTCATTCAGAAATACGACATCTGCTAATGTTGCAACATTAGTTTTCTTTGGTGCAGACCACTTCAGCAATCTAGGAAACAAATCTTTCCTTTCTTCCTCTAACTGGCAAACACGTGCCGTTCTAAGAGCTGGGAAACTTTCAAATGCCCATATTTGCAATGCAAAGACAAAACCTGGAAAGGTGAATCTGTCTTTTGTGGCCCTTTTAATATTTTCTGTCCACTTAGGCACTTTTTCCAATAAATCTTCCCAGATTTCATCTCCCCAAGGGTACTGGTTCACTAAATCAAGATTATCTACCGTGTTGATGTAGATTGCCGGGCATTTCACTGTCTTTTGGTTTCCAATTATGTAATTGGAAATCAGGTCAAGAATAGCCAGTTTTACCCTATCTAAGGGCTGCTTCTCTACAGGTATATTATCGAACTCCTCAAAAGCTCTATTTATGTCAGCCCTTGTAACATTACTTCTTCCATTGAAAAACCTTCTCAATATGTCATCTATTACATTTGTGGGTATTATTGGTTTCTCTCCTCCCATCTTGAACCCCGTTATCAATGCCAGTTGTTCCTTTCTAAAAGCCACCAACCTATTTCCTATATTAAAGTAAATTCGGTCTTTCCAAGTCTTCTTGTTAACCTTTTTGACATGGTTTTCTACAAGCAGAACGAGCAGTTGTCCATTCATCCACTCTAGGTTACATATTTCCAGCAATCCACCAAATGTGCTTTAATTTTTCTGAATTCTTCAAGTTGGTCCTCCTTTAATAGCTTCCTTATGGTTTCAGTGGCAGTATGTACATTTGAATAACAATTTAACTTTAACTTCTTCTTGGTCATAAGAACAGGGTTTGTGCAAGATCTAACAATTGCCTGACATTTTAGTATTAATAATTTCTATAAGTACTATAATCGTAAGGCATAATTGGACAACAATACTCAATTTATAAATTTGAATTTACTGTCTTATAGCACAACTCATATATTGTGTAATCTAACATCAAATGCTTCATACCTTAAGTCATATGAAATAAATGATATGTTAATTGTTGCAAGCATGTATGGACAAAATCAAATAAGGTATAAAATATTCAGTATTTACTAGAACTCAAATAACACATCTGACATCAACATTACTCTACGAACATTTGATTCATCATTTCAGATAAACATTACTTCTACTTTGTTTGTAAGCAACATATGTCAATATAATTGTTTACGAAATTTATATCACTTTTCTCTAATGAAGTCATTGAATACATTACCTGACCAAATGGAAGTATAATTTCCTTGTCCCTCTCTGTTTTGATGGGACTTGGCATCTTTGTGTCGAAGTCGCTTTCAGAGTTTTCTTCCTTTTCTACGTTTTCAACGTCTGCTTCATTCTCGGTTTTCTTTCACTTTGCCATTACTGCCTAAAATTGCCTTCAGAGCCTTCGGTTCGTCGGAATGCTCTTCGTTGGTCGTCAAAACTTGCTTGTTGTTCGTCGGTAGTACTCAGCCATTTGTGTTTTCCGTTGAAGCTTTCTGCAGCTTTGGAGACGTTAATTGAAATGGGGCTTGCCATTTCAACTTGGGCTCGCGGTTTGTAGTTGGGCCTGCTGTTTGAAAGGAGTCCTTTGGTCCATTTGGCAATTTAAAAGTAAGGGTTAAATGGTCATAACAGCTCAACTTAAGTCCTACGGGTAGATGCAATCCTAGTTTTAGAAATTTCCTATGTTTATGTCCTATTCGTAAAATTTTCCCTAAATATATATCTATATATCATCGTTTCATACTTTTTCATTCTCTTCCCTAGTTGTTCATTTAAACACAAGCCACTACATCTTTTACATTAGCTTTATTATTTTCCTCTTAATACTCGTGCCAAAGCCGAAAGGGACACGTATTGGAGAACGAAGAAAGTATAAAAATGTGAGATAACATATAAAAGGGAGTACTGAAGATGAATAGTGATCCTATTTTGTTGCTTATTATTTTTATGTCAACTTTTTGCGGAACACATATTTTTTTATTTCACAAAAAAGTAATGTTAGATTTACTTTTCTGATTGCATTGGCTGAGATTACTGTACACAATCATTTTATCTATATTTTATACAAGTATAATTTTTCTTTATTATATTAATTATCTGTGAACTTCATAAATACATTTAATAAAATAATTAATAAAATAAAGAAAAAATTAGAAGTGAACTTCATTTTTATTTATGAAGTGAACGTCATGATTAATAATTATTTGTGAACTTAATTATATTTTTTATATAATAAAAAATATTTTAAATATAATTTTCATTAATCCAGTCATTTCATCTTGAACTTCATAAATCTCAACAAAATCGGCTCATTCAGCCAATTTCAGTGTCATCGAACAAGATCGAAAGTAGAAGCTCAAGACATCTAGTATAATTTGTAATGCTTTATTTAATTTAAATATATTTTTCATAGTTACTACTTGTTTTTTTGGGGTTTATATTTATCATAGTTACTAATCTAGTTACTACTTATTATTTGAGATTTGTCCATAAATAATACAAAGAATAAATTATCTCTAATGTGACTAAAACATCAATCATTTCCTCATATATAGTCCTTGAGTTTTTTCCAATATTAATATGTGCATGGATATTAATAGGAAGTGTTTTACTCTTCCTAAATAGTAGGGAATGATATGGGTGCACGGTTATATCCCTTTAAGAAGCATATTTAAAAGAAATCTTATTTTTATGGTAATTGTTTTTTGTCATATTATGAGAAATCTCATTATTTAGTTATATTATGAGAAATCCTCTATGTTTTAGTAATATTTCCGTAATAATCCCTAATACAAAAGCAAATGCTTTGGGCAAATATAGAACCGCTTTTAAAAAATTCAAATTTAATTCGACCATTGTCCAATGCAGCCACCGTTGACCCCGACCGCCACTATATATACAGTGAAAAGAGTTATAATTATAATAGGAGTCCCACAGTAATACGTAGTATTAATATTAAAACTACTCTATTACGCTCCTCAAGCTGTGCAATGGAAACAATGCGCAGATTGTCACGAAAAAGTGTAAAACATTACGGAGACAAGCACTTAGTGAATATATCTACCAGCTGAACCTGTGTGGGACATTTGACACAAAGATCATCATGGGTCATCGCTCACGCACAAAATGATAATCAATGTTAATATGCTTACTCCTAGCATGTTGAATGAGATTAACCGAGAGATTAGAAGCAGATACATTATCACAAAATAGGGTAGTAGGCACCCGGGCCGGAAACCCCAACTCGAGTAGAACTGAGCGAATGTGCGACATATCGTGAACAGTAAAAACCACAACTCAATATTCAACTTCAGTGGAGGATCGAGAGATTGTGGGTTGCTTCTTGGATTTCCAAGAGATGAGTTTTGGTCCTAGAAAAATTGCATAACCAGAAGTAGACCTACCTGTATCCGGGCACCCGTCGCAATCAACATCATAATAAGCAATAACCGTCGGAGACTCTCGAGACTTATGGAGAAGGAGGCCATGAGTGGATGTTCCCAGAAGATACCTGAAAATACGCTTAACACCCAACATGTGTGAAGTACGGCGTGCATGCATAAATTGAGAAACCAGGTGTAAAACAAAGGTAGCAGGGGTAATGAATAATGTAGAAAAAGTAGGAGACTATGTGTAAAATTATGAAAAAAGACAAAAAATAGAAAAAATAGGAGTAATTGAGTAATTTATAAAGAGAAAACTTATCAAAAATGAAAGTGTAACAAACTTTGAAATACATCTAACGAGTAATATACTCCGTACTAGTTATCTTGTAAAGCACTTTTATATTTGGCCGCACTGCAATTTGAAGGGGAATTAAAGCACTAGGTGTTCATAATCCCACCCTCTACTAATACATTTTCCTGATTACCCTCCGGAGTAAAACCTGAATTGTACTTGGGCCGTTTCTGAACCTGAAAATGGAGAAAATCAGGAGAGCATCACATGCTGGTTCATGGTACACTGATAATCGTAAGCCACATATATTTGTCTCTATCATTTCTTTTCGTTATAATTGGTAGTGTTTTATTAAAAATTTGTTCCTTGCTCTACTATACAGACCTTATTGATTATCTTGCCCGTTTCTTCTTGTTAATTTGGTGCGATTCTGATGGCGTTTCGAGTAATAGGGAAACTAATCCGAGGACGGTGTTCATAAACTTTTAGTTCGGCTCCTTATGTAAAACTCATATTTTCCCTTCTTCGCTGGGATAATTTCTTCTCTTCTTCTTTTAATCATTGGTAAGATATTTGTAATATTTGTTGATTTTAAGACTTTTTGTAATATTTGTTGATTTAAAGTTGAGAAAACTCCTATTGGTAAGTCTTTTCTTAGTTGCTTGGTTTACAACCATTCTTCCTGTGCATGAGAAGATGAACTGGAAAGTAATCTTTTCAGTTGAGTTTGATAAAAAATGTAATCATTCTAGGCACGTATATCTTCCATATATCTTTACGTTTTATATCTTCTTAATCACAAACATGAAGATCTTTTGAAAATAGAGCATTTCCACCTAGAAGATGTAAAGCAGATTTTGGGGATTCTAGGAAAATATTTTACACTTTTTTTTAATTTAATTTTAGGTTTAATTTGTATAGAAACTTTTATAAAATACTTTTTTTGCCTGGAACTTTATTAAACCTAGGACCTTCTTGTCCACTTCGCAGCAGAACAAATTTATTGGGAAAGTTGTTATGAATTTTATATTTGCAACTTTGCACAAGTAGTTTGCAAATAAATTGCCATGCTACTGAAAATGTATTACTTTTCCCCTAATGCTAAACTTCATCCATTTTCAGCCCAGAAACTGGAAAAAGAGCTTGATGAGTGGTTGAGAGAATCTGGGCTGACCAAGTCGTCTGATGTACGGGGTGTGATTGCCCCGTAAGTTGTAATCCTGCTCTCTTCTTGTAAATTGGACTAATTAAAATATTCTTTTACCTAATTGTTTTGGGGTGCCTCCGGCTACTAGCCATGCTGGCTATTCATATTCAGGTCGTGCAGCGGCTTTTGCTTTTGGAAACATAGACCCAACAAACATGTACACTATCTCTTCCTTATTTGATAATCTCTGTGTTCCTTATTGTTAAAATGAACTTTTGGCCACATACATTACTGCTTTTTTTGCATTGCCCTCATCTCACATGAGTATTGTTTGTATTTGTAGTTCTCGGGTCTTCCTGCTTGGCCCATCGCACCACTATTACACTGCAAAATGTGCACTTTCGAAAGCCACAGTTTACAAGACTCCCATAGGAGATTTACCTATTGATATGGAAGGTAGTGTACAATTGTTTTACCCATTGCGTATGTTTTTCATTTGTAAGTAACTAAGTATGCAATATTCTCCATCACATCTGCAAAAGATGAAGTGTCATAGAGAGTGGATGTTCAAGGAACCAATTGCAGTTAGTTGGGTCTTGATTTCTGTGTACTTGTCTGTATTTATACAAGTAGCATTACATCTTCGAACTGTGAGAAACTTCAACACGTGAAATCTAGGCAGTTTTCTCTATCTGACTTTTGTTAGACTCATTTGTTTTCTTTTGGAGCAAAACTGGAAATTTTATTGCCACCAATCAAAGGGAGTACACACATGGCATAGCCCGAACTATATATAACACTGGGCCAGTACAAAAAAAATTAAAAAATATTCACACAAAATTCTTTACACTAATAATCAATGATTTTTTGAAATTTGGGGTGTTCAGCGGCCTAGCATGACCCTCCTGCCTCTGCCCATGAGTACATAGTGCAGACCATGAACATCAAGAACTACAATACCAGAAGCTCAACATTAATTTTTTAAGTACGTTATCCTTGCAAATTGCAATCAACAGTAAGCTCTGATTAAGCCAGGATTACAGGAACTTTGTCGCCTTCTATCTGGGTATGAATGCATTAAACATCAACCAGCTCCAATGCAAATCTGTTTCATCCTCTTGCTAAACCACAGCTCAAGCCCTCCCCTAGTAGATTTGGTCTCAACAGAAAAAATAGAGATGCAACCATATAAGTTGTAAAAGCCTGCATTTAAGTCTCCTTTAGCATCTGTAATAATCCATGTTCCAGCAGCCAAGCCGTCCATTTTTAAGTCTCCGTCAGTGTTGAGTTTTAACTTTTAACAACAAGGATCTAGCTTCTCCCATTCGACCCTGATAATCTTGGGCATTTTATGCTCAGCACATGCTTTCCTCAAAACCAAAACATTATTTTATACCCTGCTTATATGCCAAATCAGGACTATCCCATCCTCAACAGCAACATTAGGTTTGTTTTTATTTCTAGCACCCCAGAGGTACCCTATAATCAACAAAGCGACAGGACGTCTCATGTACTTAGGATAAAATCATTTAATGACTAAATTCATGAAAGATTTCTTCCCGGAAGTATAGATTGTCATAAATTAACCAATGCATTTAAGAAATGGTTCCAAACTTCTTTAGCTTTTTAGCAGTATAGGAGGACATGGTTCAAAGATTCTGCATCCTCACACCAGCAACATTTGGGTCCTAATGAGATGCCAAATCTTGACTGAAGCTTATCATCACTAGGTTACCAGAAAGTCAAAGTTCTCTACATTTAAAATGATATATTTTAGGAACTAGGGGAATTTTTAAAGAATTGAAAGTTGGCTGATATTCTGTGTGTTGAAAATTTTAGTGTCCTACACTAATATACACATGGGAATAAGATAGGATTTAAGCATTATTGTTCAGTTCCTGGGAAGTAAGTAAATTCTAGTTTGTATCCAAGTTTGGCCCACATTTTCCAGTGAGCGAAGGGTATTGTTTAGCCTTTGTTTGTTTCTTAGAGTAACAAAAACTTCATAGAGCTCATGTTTTGCCGTTAAAACTTCAATTTATCATTTCTGCGCCATTGATGTAATTGAAAGATCGAGAAACCTTCCCTTATTAGTTAGTGTTTTAGAAATATTGGTTTTCCCTTAGTTTTCTTTGAATCTGATTTCATGATTAAAATGGGTACTCTTATAATGATATTTATTAATATATTTTTTTGGACCCCTTCATAGCAACATAGTTTTGTGACGCTTTATGGTGCAATGTGTCACTGCAAATGTTGTGCATTTTTCGTTTTATTATGCATTAATATGTGAATAATGACTGTACTTGAACATGTACTTTCTTTGGTTATATAACAAAGCTTCTATAATAAAAAGTCTAAATACATGTTTTCTTGTATTTATATCCTGTTTATTTCTTTTCAACCAAACAAATGCTTAAAATTTTCTCGAAGCCATCAATATAAGGACCCCTTAAGCAAGAAAATATGCCCCTTAAAAGTGAACCTACCTGAGTAACATCTTATTTTGTGCTCACATTTCCTAAGGCGTTTTAGCTCAGCTTAAGTGCTTTGCAAAACATGACTGCTTTGTTTTGGCTCAGCTTTTTTGGTAAGTGATATCTGAATCCCCTTTGATGTGGTTGACATACACCACATACATTTCCAAAATAAATTATCCTGATCGTCAAGTCATTCCTATTTGGAATGAAAAAATCATTCCAAATACATGCAGCTCCACTCCCATACTAATTTGTTTTGTCCATGTCAAATGAATTTGGGAATTTTGGTATTGCACCCCATGGTTTACCCGATGTTCGAATTTGCATCTCATGTTTTACTTTCTTTGACTTTGCACGACAGTAACCCTAGATCAAGTCATTTCTATTAGCTTTTGAACCCATGATTACTTCAATACATAGTATTTGATTTTGCATGTTACTGTGTGAGTGTGTGGTGTGGGTGGCATGGAATTCAAAGTTAAAGAAAATATAACACGTGTCAAAGTCATATGCCAGGGTTTCCATATGGTGCAAATACCATATTTTCCCAACAAATTTCTTCAAAATATTTACAAAAAGACTTATAGACAGCATGTTTTAACAGTCATCGAGGAGCTGAAAGCTTCAGGGAAGTTTGAAATGATGGACCTGAATGTTGATGAGGCTGAGCACAGCATGGAAATGCACCTGCCATACCTTGCTAAAGTATTTCATGGGTGAGTTTCGGACACAACCTTCTTCTTCATACATGATGTAGTTGGCGTCTGAATTATTGTAATTTTCTGACAGGTTTGCAGTGAAAGTAGTTCCTATTTTGGTTGGTTCTCTTAGTCCAATGCATGAAGCCATGTATGGAAAATTTCTGGCAAAATATGCAGATGATCCAACAAATTTCTTTTCAGTGTCATCAGATTTTTGTCACTGGGGCTCACGGTAATGCTCTTTTGATAGTATTTTATCACTGTTGTTTAACTAAGTTTACCATATCTAACTTGTCAAAATCACACAACAATTTAACTTATTTTGATCAATTAGGACTGTTTTGGGAGTAATTGGGACAAATAAGTGTTCGCAAAAACATTCTTTGGGTGAAGTAGGGAGTATGTGCTATACATATATGTTTGTATTTTTATATTTGGAAAAGTGTTTTTATACAAAAAAAGGGTGATACATATATGTTCTGTGCAAGGTTTCGTTACACATACTATGACAAAACACACGGAGAAATTCACAAGTCAATTGAAGAATTGGATAAAAGGGGCATGGATATAATTGAAACAGGAGATCCAGATGCATTTCAGGAGTACTTGTCGAAGACTGAAAACACCATATGCGGACGCCATCCAATTAGTGTTTTCCTTCATGTAAATATCTCAACTCTCCCTTCTATTTTAGTTTTGGAAATGCAACTTATATTTCAGTGTTATTACGCATTTGACGAATTGCTGATGGTTACTATCATTTCAACTACACAGATGGCAAAGAACTGCTCGACAAAGATGAAGATCAAGTTCCTTCGGTATGAGCAATCAAGCCAGTGCAAGAGCATGAGAGACAGCAGTGTGAGCTATGCATCAGCAGCAGCAACCAAGGTTGATGTTTGAACTTGGAAGAACATGATGTGCATTTTCACAGGGGCTGAGCAGTGTGACCTATCTTGTTAAACTCGGTTGAACAGGGGCTGTTGGACTAAGCAACTAATGATTGGTTTAATACTGATGGGCTCTTACCCTCTTTAGTTTCAATCAATCTGGGCGTTTGTCTTATTTTATTGTGACATAAAACATGTGACATCATCAAATGGTTCAGGTTCGTAGTCATAAAAAGAGTGGAAATGGAAATGTAACTGGGTACACCTATTCCGTTCACGTGTCAGTTCCACTCCAATTTCGGGCTGCTTCTGGGCAGGATCCCTAGCCTATTAAAAAAAAACAGGGCATTTTTGGCATTCCAACCTAGTTTTGGTTATTGGGTGGAAGTTGAGATTGGGTCAATTTGGGAGCAAAATTGTATGTTTACTTTACAGGTTAATTACATTTTCAGAGTAAAATTGACAATTTCAAAGAGTAATACAGACAACTCGATGACATTTTCAGAATAAACATGGCATTTTTAAAAAGGTGAAGGAGGAGCGACTGTCAGGTTTTTAGGTCTATAAATGCTATCTTCATGACATTTCATGTCATTTTTAAAAAGGTGAAGAGGAGCGATTGTTAGTTTTTTTTACGTCTGTAAATGCTATCTTCATGACATTTCATGTCATTTTTAAAAAGGTGATGAAGGAGTGATTGCCAGGTTTTTTACGTCTGTAAATGTCATCTTCATGAGTCATGACATTTCATGTCTTTTGAGAATCAAAATGACATTTTTGTAAAACAGAAACACTAGAAGCAGACCAGACAGTAGTAGAAGAAGAAAGTGTAGAAGTAGGAAGAGCAAAATTAGTATTGGTGTCCCATTATTACAATTTGAAAGATATGTTCCAATTGAATCGAAGAGGAAGAGAAAAGATGAAGGAGTGGTAGGTATGTTTCCAATTAAATTAGAAAAGGGGCTTTATCGACATTATAGAAATGACGACAACTCAAAATAGGAGCGGATGACTCCTATAATGGGAAAAAATATGGTAAGTCCTGCTTTAATTTTTTATCTATGTTTTGGTCCTATTTAGATATTTTTTTTTGTTTTTCTCATCCCAAACCACAAAGGGGAGAATATTACTCACCACCGTTATAGTCTTTTTAACAACACTCGTCATAAGGACTTTATTGATGTTATTCGTAATTATCTTCATATTTGAAGGGACAAAGGCATCATCATTTCCTATATTTATATTTCGGATCTCCAAGTCCACAACACTATCACCTTTCATAGCATCAAACATGAGGATCAAATTTTCAAAATCACTTGCATCAGTAGGTAAATTACATGGTACAACCGGCTGTACCTAGAGCATGGTACAACCGGGTCTTTTTGTAATTTATTCCAACTCTCAGGGCATTAGTAAGCTGCTAGTTCTCTTTTTTTGTCCGTCTGCTTCTCTTTTTCTTCCGTCGGCACTACTCCAGACTTACGGGTTGCTTCACTTTTTTTCTTTTCTCTTTTTCTTTCTTTTGTTTTTTCAATTCGTTTGACTTTTTCTTCCGCCGGCACTACTCCATTCTCCAGGCTCGAGGGTTGCTCTACTTATTTTTTCTTTCTTTTTTTCTTTTGTTTTTTCAATTCGTTTGAGTTGTTGCTTCCCTTCTTTCTTTTTCTTTAATTTGCTTGTTGTTTTTCTTTTCTTTATTTTTTCTTTAACAATCTTTTACTTTATTTTTTATTCAATTATTATAATAATGTATTATACAAAATATTATTTAATGTTTGAGTTTTTTTTTTGTTTTTCCAATCAACCTTCAAACTTAAGCTTTTTAATTTGTGCATTACAAAATATTTTAGGTATTATAGAAAAGAGTTTGTGTTATATTCGAATGAGTATAACGATTAAAAAAATGAGCATATACAATTGAGTTTAGGTATTATAGAAAAGAGTTTATGTTAAGCTCAAATGAGTGTCGCGCCCTAGATGAATGAGTATACACAAATGAGATTTTGAATTTTTTAATATTCAGTTTTTAAGTTATGTATGCTCATTTAGAATCACTTTATGCTCATTTTAAAAGATTGCACATTTCAAACATATCGTACTACATTAGAAATGAGTTTTATGTTAAATTCAAATGAGCATCACGTCCAAAATAAATGAGCACACACAAATGCATTTTTGATTTTTTTATACTCATTTTGTAAGTTATGTGTGCTCATTTAGTATTGCTTTATACTCATTTTAAAAGGTTGCACATTTCAAACATATCACACTACATTAGATTAATTAAAATTGATTATAGACATAACTTAAGATTTTTTAATAAACAAGAAGTGATATTCTACGTATAAGGTATAAGCAGAGATCATTGATGTTCACCGTTAGGCTCCTGATACTCAAAAGAACAGGCTCGATGCTCATAAAAAATGCATAAAATGCTCATTTAAGAGAATACGTGATTTTCACAAAAATTACAAGTTTGCCACCGGCTGTACAGTGGTCACTGTACAGCCGACTGTACAATATACGGATCCATATTCCCCATGAGGTTAATTTTGCGGCTATAGAAATTAGTCTTGGTGTTGACGTCAAATCTTCATGATTTCTTAACACTCAAATTTGACACGATTGCTTATCCTTATGTAATTTAATTTTCTCGGGCAGGTTTTGGTCTAGTCCCCTATCTTGTATGTTTTCTCATCCAATAAATTGACAAGGTGTTCGTCAGCCCTTATCCTATCACATGATGGTTTGCCTTCAGGTTTAAAAAAAAGATGGAAATGAGAGGTGATAAATATGGAGAATGATGAAGATGGAGTTGATCAAGATAAAAATGGAAATTTTGAAAAAGAGAAGAAATTAGTGAGATTTTCGTATGGAAGAGGGAGAGAGTAAGAGAAATGATAATTTGTGTAAGATTTTATAGAGTACACCGGTGATGTTAATAGCGCGCGATAGTGGCGCTATAGTGGTGGTGCGGAGCGGCGGACATGGCTGACGCTACTGGAGTGTGGTGTTTGGGTGTAGCGGATATAGCGGCTGCTATAGCGGGCACGCTATACAGGTAGATGCAGACACTATAGCGACACTTTTTTGAATCAAAGGTCGGATAGGGTTTTTGTGTATAATTTTTTACTGCTGAGGTAGAAGGGTAAATTAGTCTTTTATAATTAAACATTAACCACCTTAAAACCCTTGGACACATGCGTAGAAGTGAAGAACCCTTAAAAACGGCAATGACGTCTCCTTGAAAATACTCCATCTCTTCTTTCTGCTCCGCCATGACATCTCATACAAAACATCTGTTGCACTCCTCTTCTTTCATTCTTAAGCCATAGACTTATTTTTTATCCGGTGCTTTCACTTAAGATGTTTTAATCATTAATAGCATTGTATATTTTGCTCATGAAACGAAGGAGTATTCCTTAGTCATTTAGGATTTATGAATGGTAAGATATTTGCAACTTTCATTGGCAGATAACATACTTTCTGAATTCACGTTGTGTATGTAATATAATTATATACTTCCAGTAGTTACTTATCTATTATATTTGAAAGTAGTCTAAATAGTTATCATCCCGGAATCCACTATTCCGCTATAGCGTTTTGAGGGCCGGCCGCTCTGCTTCGGTATCTAGGATTGACAACACTGAAGCATACACCACTGTGTATGCTATATTGCTATGTAGAGATCCATTCCACGGGATTGTCATCCCACTATACTAAATGTTGCATTTTTAAAACGAAAACTGGTTTGCTATGTAGAGAAAGGGAACATAGGCAGGATTGCAGATAGCTTATTCAAACTAAAGGATTTGACATTTAATTTTTTTGTCAAATATGTATGAACATTGACCGGTAGCATATATTTTACAAAATGATTTATAATATGAAAGTAGTGATAAACATTACTCACTAAAAATATTCTCACAGAAAGGGAATATAGCTTAGATAACCCAGCTTACATGTGTGAAATAATGAGCACAAACTTAATATTCTCATTGACAATAACCTCAATACCATAAACTCAAATTATTTATATAAAAATGGAAGCTTAATATGCTAAGTGTACCCTACTATCTCAATGGAAAAACCATTACCATATTACCATAAAGCTTAAAATGGTGCTAAAATAACCATTACCATAAAGCTTAAAATTGATTAAAAAAGGAATAAAAATTATCATTTCCTTGAAATCACCAAAGTATATTGATTAAAGACATTGCTTAAAATTGAAAAGGTTTGACCAAAAAAGTCAGAGTTGTGAAACATAAGGATGGGAGATTTTGGGCAAAGGAAAAAGGAATAAATGGATTTCTTGAAATTGATATTTTAAGGCGGGAGTACAAGAGGTGAGTGTGAGCATGTTATATGTTTGCATGTTATATGTCTGCAGAGGGAAAATAAATTTGGGAAAATGGGAAATTCTAATGCATGACACCAGACCAATTCTTGTTCTAAATACTACAAAGCTTTGAGGCTTTGAGCTGTTACTCCCATAGTCCCGTTCTTCAGCTGCTTCTCTGTGCCGCCCCGGGTAGTAAGCTTGAAAGGGTCGGGACTCCTTGGCTTCTCATTTCCTCTTGTGCACGCCTCATTTCTTCAGGATCTGACCAACAAACAAAATGAATTGTTATAGCATAAACAACACTGCACCGATGGATGCAATCTTCTACCATTGCGTCAAGAACAAAAAACTTTTGGCGCCCGTCTTGAAAAATTTCCATTTTAACCTTCAAACTATTATTGACCGACAGTCCGACATTACCACTGACCATCTTCACTTTTTCAATCATAGTTGGAGAATTAAATAATGTGACTATTACAATAGTAATAAGACGAAAAGTGTCAAAGTTTAAAGACATTTAACAAATCAGTGACAGAAGTCTGAAGATTAAAAGTGAAGAAAAAACTTGCATGCATACAGACAGACATTTCATTTGCAAATCGAAGATGTGTGTGTGTGTGTGTGTTCTCTAGCATTTCTATTCCATTTAATGAATGCAAAAGCGAAAATTTGTCTTGTGGTTCAAACAGACTAATAATGTTAACACAAATTTAAATGGCACATGGGCTTACCCATATTTTCTACCAATTTAGGCATAATAAATACCACAAGAAGCATGAATCCAACCATCAGACCCATAGGGCTCTTAACTAATGACATGATGGAGAAAGGTTCCCTCATCTGCAGCATAATGAAGCGAAACAAACATCAAATCTTCAGAAAAGAGAACGGTGAAATACAATTGGGATTGAAGTCAAAAGTTTAATCTGACCTCATAGTACTGTTCCTCCCTTAGTGGCTCCAAGACTAGCTCACTCAGACTTCTTCTATTCTCTGTCAGCGCTGCCTGAACCTTGCCTGGGTTTCTGGCACTAACATCAACTCGAACCTGAGGAAAAGGTAAGAAGCATATAAACTCAGTAGAGAATCCTCCTGATTTTATCAGTGATGTAGGTTCGAAGGCTCACTGGAGAGAAGAAATAGCCTATTGCATCCACTTCAATTAGATGTGTCCCAGCAGGCACGTTATGGCTGAAAGCACATTGGTTAAGGAACTACAATTAAGCCTACTCAAATATTGATAAGAAATAGATCCTTATACAGCCATACATATATGTGTTACTACTATATTTTAATTACCACAAAGATTATACGGAGTATAAAAAAGTGGAGAGATTATAGTTTGCACCTCACTTATTATCCACATTTGATTTTGCACCCCATATCTGAAATAATTAATACTTGCACCCAAAGTTCAAAACCCCTTTTTAAATGGGATGCGAACTCCAATTCAGAAGAAAAAATCGGGTGCGAACTACAATTTTAATGGTGTAACCGTGTAAATATTATAATGGGAGAATTTGACTTTGCACCCCATGTTTTAGGTGATATTGAGTTTGCACCCTATTTTCAAAATTATTCATGTATGCACCCCAATTCACTATAAAATAATTTGACTTTGCACCCCAGTCCTTCACAATTTTTGGGTTGATGGGGTGCATCCATTAATGATTTTAAAAATAGGGTGCAAAGTCAAATATCACCCAAAACATAGGGTGCAAAGTCAAATTCTCCCTATTATAATTTCTAACATGGGGTGGAAACTCATATACGGATGATGAGGTGCAATGGAAAATCCACTTCCCCTTATGAATATTATCTAAAATATTAATTCTTCTCACTCTATTCAACAAAACATATCATCTAAACTATTCCGTTTGTATCCCTCCATCTTGTTCCCCTTTTTTGAACCAAAAGAAATGCTAAAAGCAGGAAACTCACAAAGAAATGCAACTAAACACATAACACAACCTCTTACCTTTTAAAAAACTAATACGAGTAGCACATTAGGAACAAAAGTAATAACTAATCAGCTCAACATAATTTTTTTGTACAGTTCAGCTCATCAATACTTACTTACTTAGATCAGTCTTATTTGTGAAACGATCTGCCAAGGAATATATCAACACACTAATACAAAAACATAACATAATGGAGATTCAGGTGATTTTCCCCATAAGGAATTGAATGCAAAAATTAAAAATTAGGGAAATAACGTAACAAAATTGAAATATAAGTCAAGGATACAATGAAAAGTATCCATCAGGTCTTAAAAATGTAACTCTTTGGCCACCATTAAGTACCACCTTGACATCTGATGCTTTTGCCAGCAAACCAGATCCTTTCAAGTTAAAGCCTATCCATACCATAGCAAAAGAAAAACTTTTTATGATTATACATAGTTGAAGAACATGACATGCACCTTGGGTAAATCAATGACCATAACATTTATTGCATGCATTACTTTTGAGGGCAAAAGAAATAATGTTGGGAAAAGATAAAAGAATCTAACACATGACCAGGAATTAATAAATGTAGAGTACAGGGCAGACTAATATGTAAACTTTAAAACTGTATAAAGGTTTGGATCAAGGTAGCCAATGTTTGAATTCAAAAGGTTAAGGAAATTCTGGAGCTTGTGAGTCAAATTCTCAGTGGCTGCTAGTAGCCAGAAATTCGTAATACATTTGTACACATGTGTTCATGTGTATCAAAGTGTTAACTGTACAGACATATTAGAAGACCTGAAAAACTGGAAATTTGTCACACTATCCAAGATTCTCCATGACAACATCACAAAACCATTGAAGTAATCATTTCATTTCATTTTCATTTACCCCAGTGCCGCAAAGGCTCCCACCTACGGTGGGGTAAGGGGGGGTCGGAGGTACGCAGTCTTACCCCTGTACTAAAGCACAGAGAGACTGTTTTCGGATGACCCATAGTGAAAATCCCGTCCAAAATTGCATGGACTGACTGCTGCTTCATAAAAAAAGAAGCGCAGACAGTTTAGTGAGTCATTTTGCTTTATTCCATCATAATCTCAAACCAAAAAATAATGAATCTTTGGCTCCATTGCAAATGATGGAAAAAAATCATGGAAGTAATATTAACCATAAAAGAGTTAATCAAACTGGAAAGTGTGGCAACTTCACCAACCCAGAAAAAGTAATGTTTAAAAATAAGATGGTTGAATTTTCACAGAATTCTTAATTCTCAGCAACAAACATTGCATTTCACTTTGTAGTTTGTACAAGATCCCGGGTTCTCTGATATACGATGTTGATTGGTTCATAGGAATAGAAATAAAAAGAATATAAAGGATATACAATAATGTCATTCAAGACATAAAATGAATGAATGAAAGAGCAAGACAGCCTCACAGACCTTGAAGGTACACGATACTACTCACTTTTCTTTTATCCGGTCAATATAATTCAAAAGGTCTAATTTACTTCCCCTTCTTCCACAGTTTCATACAACCATGATATTCTGGTTACTATCATCCCAAATAATACTTCCATATGTTTCTTATTTATTCATAATTCCGCCACGAGATCATTTTTGGTATCATGCATGTCCTAAGCCAGGATAAAGGAGGAGGGTGTTGTGGTAGGTGCGGATGTTGTTGTTGTTGTTGTTTCTTATTTATTCTTATTCTTAAGATTGATAATACTTATTGACTCATGGATCTACTCTTTTAGTGAAAGAGACAGATGTTATTGCTGTTTACTGCACATGAATTTAACCATAGTAGAGAGAGACCCTAAAGGTTATGATCCTTTAACAAAAAAAAGCAATGTTGTATGATTAGATTAATAGAGATCACATGTTATCCGAAGTGAATCAAATTACAGACACAAAGACGCCACCTCTAACTAGGGCTGCACATCGGGCGGGTTGGGTCGGGTTTGCTATATTTTTTGGGCCTACCCAATTTGTTCGGGTTGTCTATTAACCAACCCGCAGTATGCAAAATAAGTTGGTAAACCATACATGAACGGGTCGGGTAGGGTCGGATTTTGAAAAAAACAATCACTTCGGGTTGCATCTTTCATGTGGGAAATCAATGTAAACAATCTGAAATTCGATTAACTTGTTTCCAAAACACACAAACAAATACAAGTACTCGTATCTTTTATAAGCAAAAACATTAGGTAATAGTATTAAAACATCCTTCCGTAAAGGAAATTCATTTAGAAGGAAACGAAATATATAATATTCACCTAGTCAAAATGGTAAATGTTTAATTATAATTCTAAAATCATAAAGTCCTAGATAGAGCACATTGGTCTTAAATTAAAATTATCCAAGAAAACATTGTAGCATAATAATAGTAAAATGAACTTTCGGCCGAGTCGGCTACTATCGGGTTTGAAATTTTAATTCCGCAACCCTACCCATTAGGTGCGGGTTCAAACGTATTTAATCCATGAATATTTTTTAAAATCAAATATGCGATAAAATAGGGTGGGGTAGGGTCGGGTCGGGCGGGTTATGCAGGTTCGGGTTATTCTTGTGCAGCCCTACCTCTAACCCAACAGGTAGCTAAATATACCATATCAATCATATATGATACTTTAACCCAGCCAAAAATGCATATCGGAAAACAAGATGTAATCTCTGTAATTTAGAACAATTTTCAACTCAATGCAAAAAGTGATGGTTAAGATTCGAAGTGAACACAATTTGGCCTTCTTCAGCTTCCGAAGATGCAAATACAGATAAAAGATAATCATCAACAGAACTCTGCTTCAATTTCCACTGCCACATGTTCAAGTTAATATTTAACCAATGAAAGTTCACGCATTCATTGAAGTTAGTGGGGGGGGGGGCACTGATAGTAGTACCAAAGTTTCCACCTTCAAAGATTGAAGCATAAAAATGCATATCTTTCCTAGCAATTCCTTTACATGTCGGAACCAGTAAACCAGATCATATAAATTTTATGCCATTTAAGTTCATTGGCATGAACCGAACTCAAAGATTTTTTGGGCACACCAGAAGGAAGACTCAAGCATTATTATCAAAGCATAGTTAAAAGTTCAAAACAAGAGTGGCAGAAATATCAACAAAAATTACATTTGAACCTGGTATTTTCACACGTCCGTTTATAGTATATCCATCACTAGTCCTGCCCAAAACAATACATCAAATCAACAAAGAACTGGAGGATGATGAGGGGTGAATAATTAGATCTTAACATAACGCATTCATGAAACTAAAAGGGCAGCAATTTCTCGTTGCCAAAGTAAACTAACATGCTTGAAGTAAACTAAAATAATTTGATGTAATCTTTAGGGTTAAGAGAAAGCACACCGCGAAGCGACGGCCAGAGAGCATAAGCAGAGCTGAAGAAGAAAGACAAGTGAGAGGAAGATCGGCCTAGTCATACCGCCTGTTGTATGTTAGTTGCTAACGAAAGTACGAAACGTATAGCCGATTAAAAACGGGAATTGACAATTCCTCGCATCACGCCGCTACCAAGGCCACTTCAATGGCTGCTGAAACTGATGGAAAACTATCAACTATGAATCTATGCCTTTCAAGGAGCAAGGAATACCCTTTTAAATTATATTCACTAAATTCTTTATAATTTTCCAATTACACTTGAAATAATAATAATAATATAATAAATGTATTATTGAGATTTATGTGAAAGAGAAAAACGATAAGAACCTCAAGATTATTGATTAAAAAGAAAAATGATAAGAAAATCTGGAACAATAAAAAAGAAAACAAAATTATAAATGAAGGAGAAAGTAGTATATTTATTAGAAATTATACTAAATGGGACTAAAACACGGTGAAAACTCTAAAATAGGACTTCAAGTTTTAATTTGACTAAATGGGACTCCAGATTACATTTTTACCCCTAATCCCTAAATCACCTTCTCCCCAATCTCTCTGCATCGATCGTGAGATCTAGGATTACAACTTCTCCCTGCGATTGCCTAAATGACTCAACGGCCATGGACGCAACTCACAACCATCGATCGCAACTCGACCAGCTATCATCGCAGCTACCTGCTCGACGCCGGCAACCACCTCTTCAACGATTTCTCCAGCAAAATCAGGTATTCCTCTTCTTCTTCTTTCTCCTTCTCCTTCTCCTTCTCCTTCTCCTTCTTCTTCTTCTTCTTCTTCCTCATCCCCTCTGTTTTCTTTTGTTTCGTGCTTCTTTTGAATTTCAGATTATTTTAGAAATTTTAATTTGAAAATGCCATCATTTAAAAATATTGCCACTTTTATGGAATTGCATTTCTTACGATGACAGTTTTGACCTGCTAGTCATTCTTTGCATCTGAATGTTATCTTTACTCGAAAATGACATGTTTTACTAATTGTAAATGTCATCTTTCTATTCCAAAATGTCAACATTATTTTAACATGACAGTACATAAGATGTCATTTTTTTAAAAAATGACATGTTTATTTTTTATATAACATTTAAGGATAGCTTGAAAATTACATGTTTTTTCATATGCAACTGACATGTTTTTATACAAAAATGTCATCATAAGTTTAACATGTCATATGTTTTCAAAACTTGTGATTTTGCTGCAGGAGGAGGTCCTGCACTAATGGTTGATGGTGGTTGGTGTCTCGCCGGAGGGTGGCAGACGGAGGTTGTGGTCTGATTGAACGGCGGCGATGTTCTGTGGCAGTACCGCTAGAAGCACCAACAACGATGGAGGCCGTTGTGCATCGCTAGTGTGCATCGCAATAGTTGCTCGACAGAGCATTAGGCTTTAATTAAGGGTAGTTTTGGTAGATTACTTCTTTTTAGTCCTATTTTTGTCAAATAAAACATAGCAGTCATGTTTTTGAAATTCTACCTAGTTTTAGTCCTATTTAGGTAAATCTCTCTATATTTATTTAGTAAGCATACCAAATGGTCATTTTATAATCTCTACGATAAAATGATTGCCAGAGTTTCTTTGACTAGAATTAGGCTGCATATGTGGAATTCTAGTAAAGATTTGTGATGAGTTTTTTGGCCGGAATTTTGAGTGATAGTGTTAAGTAAAAGATTTTAGAGTAGTTGTATCAATTTATATCACTTAAGATTTAAGATATAAGAATAGATCAATATTAATATTAAGGTACCAGATAAAAATTGCCCTCCCATTTGGACACTTCCCAAACAAATAATGAGCTTTGTTTTCTAATAACCCCAATTAGAAAACTTACATGTATTCCATGGTTTTTTCAAGTGCAGATATGATGATCCATGCAATGAAATACAACATGTTGGAATCAAGGATAAAATATTTGTTGAATCTTAAAGATTTAGTAGTCTTTAGAAAATAAATGCGTCAAAGTAGACAAATGAGTAATGTTTCGATAAAAAGGAATAAGAAAGTTGTTGCACAAGTCACACAATGGACTTACCACAAAGTTTTTCAACACATTTCTCAAGAATAAAGTGTATAAATTTTGGGAGAAACTCAACACTTTGTATCAAGTGAAATGGTTCGAGAACGCGGGTGAGTTTCACGAACATGTAAATGAATTTGGTTCGATAGAATGAGATCTTAAGTGTGGGAAGTCCGGGGAGAAAACCACAATACTTTTGAGTTCTCTACTTCATAACTATGAGACGGTGTCCTTTTAACAGATTTGCACTTGGTGACAATGTGACGATGGAGACAGTCACACATGCCCCTTAACAAGGAGGGGTCCAATGAAAGAAGCCGAAAAGCACCGGTCTATGCTCCTAGTCAAAATACAAAGGAAGAGGCGAATGCAAAAATGGCGAGGTAGGGGTTGAGGCCCAAACTTGCACAATGAAGATTATGATCTTAAGAGTTTCAATGAAAACACAAATCAAGATGATAGCATTCTTAAATGCTATTGTATTGGCTTGTCGATCAAAGTTAACATTCTAAAGTATTGATTCAAAGTTTCAGAGAGAATTGGCACAACGTTGTCAAAAATCGAGAAGGATGATAGTGACACATTAGCGCTATGGTCACTATATTAGCTGATGCTGCATAATCAGATACAGAGGTTTTTAATAATCCCAATTATTTCCCATTTGTTTAGCTTTTAATAATTTCAACCATATATTGTTCCTATGTAGTCCCAACTTAAGGCTCTAATTACCAATAATAATCTTAACACGCTATAATATGTTATAACAAGTTACTATTAAATGGAAACTAAACAGAGTATAAACAGAGTCTCTTTTTACTAATTCCAACTAATTTACAAAATGCAGAAGAATTCGTATGCATTTCCAAAGTATTTTATTATAAGATGTATAAAAATATCCAAAGAACATACAACCGTTTTTTACTTAAGTTTCATATTTTTCATTTTCCTAAATCTTTCATTGTCTTAATTTCTTTAGAAATTTATGATTTTGTAGTGTTTCTTCATTTTTCAAAATTGATATGTCCTTTTGTTTTTAAATAATTCATTCTCAATGACTTTCTAATATCTTGTTTTAATTCTATAATCTATAAATTAAAGATGTGTGATAGGATTTATATATTAATTTGTAGGATTGAGGATATATTATAAATGACTTGTATGTATAGGTAATCTCTAATAAGAAAGAGTTGAGGTTAAAATTTTCAAGAAAGTTGTTTATAGTAATAAATGATACTATATGAACTACTCCCCCGTATAAAAATAGTTGTCCTGGTTTCTTTTTTGGGACGATTCATTAATTATCTTATTTTCTTTTTGGAAAGAAATCCTCTATAAAAGCAACTACTGTACTCTTACAATACTCAAAAAGCAAATGACACAATTATTTTGAGGAAAAAATAATTAAAATACCCCAAACTTTGATGGGGTCTGAGATAAGTACTCCAAACTTGCATATGTAATTTAAATACCCCAAACTTTATATAAAAAGTTATTTTAACACCATGGTCATGCATTATATTTTCATGATGGAGGGACGTTCGTCCCCATGAGCACCTAGAGGTACCCCAAAATGTACCACATTTTTACCCCACACCATAATTTGTGGCCATAAATGACCAGGGGGTGGGGATGAACGTCTCCGCGTCTTGAAAAAAATAATACATGACCATGGTGCTAAAATAACTTTTTATATAAAGATTGGGGTATTTAAATTACATATGCAAGTTTGGGGTGCTTATCTCACACCCAATCAAAGTTTGAGGTATTTTAATTATTTTTCCCTTATTTTGATACAGAGGAAGTATTAAACTTATTTAGACATAATTTCTGCTTATATAGACATTTAAATTAAATTAAACCTGTTTTTTTTTTGCAAAAAGTTAAACTCGAGTTAGTTCTTAAATGTTGTTTAATACTTATACTATGTATATAGTTTTGAGATGTAACATAATAATTTTTAACTACGGTCTAATCATTCAGGATCTAAACATTTCAGGTTTGGACAATTTCGAATCAACATCTGTATCAGTCAAATCTTCAACCAAATACTTGACCGTTGTATACGGTTCATGTCTTGCTCAGTCTAATCTTCCAATTTACACCAAACCTCAAGTCCTCAACCCTAAATGTGATTAGTGCACTCGTTGCAAAACCAAATGGACATGACTCAAATAGTGGAATGTATTAATGTCGATATCCCAATAACCAATGAATCTTACTTAATATTGCTACATTTCTTGCCCATGGCATATGCAACAATTCGATTGTGTGTCTATGTGGCTGACCACTGACCCTTTAATAGCGCAATTCTATTAGGGTAAGACCAATTTGAATTTTATATTCCTAAAACTCAAATTTGTTCGAGATATTTTGATCTGAATGAATTGTAGGTGTTTGTTGGGTTTGTAATATGTAATCCTTCAAAAGGAATTGCTAAAGTTTTGGATTATAACGTTGAGTTAAAAATATATTATCTTAATGATATACCAAGTTTCTAATTCTTTGAAAAAGGATAAGATGATTTGATCAGGTAGCTAAAAGTTTCTCTAGCTTACTAGCGTGAATTTTAAGTAGCTTATACTATGATTAGGAACATGATGTATTTCTTTAAGGTAACCTAGCTTGCCCTGAAGTGCCATTGAGTGTTCCATTTTTTTTCCTGTGAAAATTATACAGATTCTTGAAATATAGAAAGATACAATGTTGAAGCACAGATCTAAGTTTTATGGTCAAGGAAGGTGAGTTTTTATTTGTTCTTGTAGTACTCATGTATACCATTGTTTTTAAAACATTGATACCAATTTACATTCAAATTTCAATACCAATATCATATTATCGTCCCTAGTTGACTCGTTCAAAGTTCAAACCATGTTGTTGTTGACATGTTGACATCTTTATAAGTCCAAGTTTCTTTTGGCTTTATTTTACGCTCTTCTGTGGAGTGTGAACATCTAGTGTTGTCATCGTTGGCAGATATATTTAAGCCTTACTATCCTTTTTCAATAAGAGAATGTCATTGTTCAGAAGAATCAGTCAAAGGATTATTGGTTGAGGTGTCCATTTAAGTGTCAAGTGTAGCTTCCCAGTCACTGCTCCATCAAGCTCGAAGCAATCAGTAAGTTCGGTTTTCAGTAAAACTTTGGTGAGTGTCGTGATGCATCGCCCGACTTTTTGCTGAAAGAGTTATGTAGTCAAGTATATTATTTTCTAGACTCTTGAAAAAATGACACTCATATATTCACTGTATATGTCGAGGCTGCTTACTTTTCTACACGTGTGATTGTCCCAAACTTCACATATGAGTAGATCATGCAATCCATCCTCAATGACAAAGTCAAATGTTTGGTCCCAAACTGGATTAAGTGTCTTGATCGCAACCTGAGTTATCAAAAATTTGTTAGTCTTATACGGTAAAGGTTTGTTTCAATGAAACGGGCAACTAAATCTGCTAAAATTCATATTTATGGATTTCAAGAATCGCCTTTTCTTTGGAGTTACTATTTTGTGAATCTCAAGATTGTTCTATTCTAATGATTTTATCATAACTACTAAGCCAAATATAAAGATACAAACTTATATACTCCCTTTATCCCAAATTGATTTGCAAAGTTAATATTTTTTGGTAAACCATAAAACCAATGTTAAAGTTAAATCCTCCGTATTGATAATTAATTCAATTTTTTATAATTAAAATTTACATATTCAGACATTACATTGAAATATTTTCAAAGTTGAAAAATCCAAATTAGAATATGATAACAAAATTGACATTGGAATTAAGTTAACAAAATGAAAATATTTGACCAAGAAAAGTCAATTTTGCAAATCAATTTGGGACAGAGGTAGTACAAAACATCGACCTTATTAACATGTTAAGATAGAACCATGAGTGTGATTGAGGTGACTCTGCCATAATATATATATATATATATATATATATATATATATATATATATATATATATATATATATATATATATATATATATATATATATATATATATAACCTTACTCTAGTTGTCTCTTCTCGCTCTGACTTTTTCAGTTTTATTAATACGTATGGATCACATCTTTGAAGGCGGCCTGTCGCTGGTAAATCCTCTGCCTTTATTACAGTCAAACGCAGGACACCTCGGAATTGGAGACTGTCGTCTATATTATGTGTGGTCACATCTGGCAGAAGTGCCTTCTCAAAGTCAGTTAGTCTAAATCCAGGGTTGTGATAGCTCTTATAAATAGTGCTCTCTGTGCCATTGGGACAGTAAAGCAACTCCAATTGAATCTGCAATTCAAGTTACCATTTACGGAGTACTAGTTATTAATAAAGAAATTGCCCCCAAAAAATATGAGTGTTTTCTTTAAACAAAAGTACTATATTTTCCACTTAAGCAGGAGAAAATATTGTCATACTAAAAACATATTGTCATACTATGTTAGTATTGAGATGACAATATGCTATCAGTATGACATTTGATTTCAGCTTTACAATGTTTACTTTTATTAAGAAAAAAACATAATACTCCTAGTTAGGATTTTTTTTTATTTTTTACTCTTAATCAAGGGAATTTCCCTGATTAAAACACCTTTTCTCATTTTCTTTCAGAAAACAAAGAACGAGAGAGTGAACTTGAGCTGACCTGGCCTCTATTTTTTGTGTCCCTTTGAATTTCTAAATCTTTCACTAGTTTCAACCATATACTCTTCACTTCTCCAGGCTCAATGTCCTTTAACTGCGTTTGGGCACATCCAATAAATTCAGAATCCTGAATGCCCTCATCATCATAAACCATTATAGTCAAGTGTTGAGTAGATGCATCTTCTACTTCAAACTCAAAATTCTCGTTCCAGATCGGGTTTACTGAGTTGTTCTTGAAACCAAGAAAATACTAGCATAAATTTGTTAAACAAATGGGTAAACTGTAAATCAAAACAAAAGAAAAGAATCTCTTACAATAACTTTGCTAGTCTTGATTTTGTGAAGTTGTGGACGAATGAAAACCTCTGCAAATGGATCTGATTTCCCAATGAAGTCTTTATTAGTTAGTTCTTTCCCTTGGATAAGCTTCACCTTTAATATTCCCACCGTCTTTAACTCCAAATCGCTATAAAAATGGAAAGATAAAAGTGAACTCTTTTCACATGAAAAAACATGGGATGAGTTCAATTTTTTAGGGAGTCACATATACACATCCATCATAGCCTAACATACGCTTAGACACTACGTTTACATGTCACATTGTTAATTCGATTTAATCAGTGTGAGACAACCAGTTTAATATAGACAGGAAGTTGTACTGTGACTGCAAATCTGTATTGTAGTAGAATTAGTTATTGTCACTAGTACCTATAATCTCCAGGTACTATGGGAATGATTTGACGCACTGGCCATGTGATGGAATCTTCAATTGAATCTAGTATTGTACTCTACACGAAAGCCAGAAAAAGCGCAATAAGTGAAGAACAAACCTCCTTGGCTAAATGTGGTCGATATTTAAAATAACTAAAATAACTAGTATAGAAACTATTATTCAAAGATCTATCACTAATCCTTATTAGAGAAACTACAATATCCAAAATTTAAAGGACTCATCTTTATTTGAAAAAAATATATCTAAAATATATGGTGTTGCCTCAGAATTGCATGTAGTTGTAGCGTAACAGCTCACAAACCTTAAGAGCATCTAGTAGGCCAGGAATAGTAGTAGAGATATTGCCACCAACTTTGAGCCGGAAGTTTAGTTTTTCCTGTATGTAGACCATATAATTCTGTGATATTCAAAAGTAAGAAAACATAAATCATTCTAATCATTTAATGAGATATTACTTTTTTACGTAAGGAGTAAGATAGTGCTCCAAAACATGGGAATTCTTCCACTAGTGGTTTGAATATTATCCTGAAAACACCGGTAAAACTGATGTCTTTAACCTGCGAGATTAGGAGAAATCTCTATGAAATATGAAAGAGTTATCCTTGTACATGAAATTAGTCACGGCAGTTTTGGAGAAAATAATTGGAACGACATAAATAACTATTTTATACATAAGAATTTTTTCATTGTGGAGGGCGGGGGGGCTAAACCCTTATAGCCCCTTCCCGTTTCCACCATATTGTAGAGTGCTCGTGAAGTACTCATTACTCGAGGTATGACCTTTTTGGGGTCAAATATGAATAATTAGTACCAGTTGTTATTTTAAAATTGAAAATGTAGATTACTGATTCATTCTAGGTTTATGAATCAAATTAATATTAATTTCGAATAAAAGTTCAAAATCAAATATTTTTAGGTGATTGATTTTTTCAAGGTAGTGCTTATGATTATTGGGATTTGTTGCTACTTCATTATTAGGATTATTATTATTATTTCATTCCTATTTAAGAATCATAATTTCAGTGCATTTATGTTTTTACAATTATTAATACAACACCAAATAATCATTGGGTAATCACTCTTACTTCATATTTGGTCCTTGATCGAGTTATGTGCCACCAGGTAGCGATTTAACAACTTGAAGCAAATTGTCACATAAAAATATAAATCAAAATCGCTTGATAAGTTTTATTATAAGCACAAAAATGAAAGGTCGAGAAGTACTTCTATTGGTATTGATACTCCAACTTTAGTGCTAATATCAAGCACAATGCGTGGATTTCCATCCCACTGCACCTCCATCTCCATAATAATCTCATTGGGATCACTATTAATTATTGAAACTCCTGAAACGAGGTCAGAGTCGCCATATTACAAAACTGGACAATGTTTGGCATGAACTAATTGGTTAGAAGAGTAGCAATTCATTTCTCCAACTATATAGTCCCTCATATATTGATTTATTTTACTTGAGGATAAGAAACTAAGCAGGGCCATCTAATGAATTTGAAGGCCCCGGTTCCAAATGACAAATTGAGGCCTCCTACGACAAGAAAAATACAAATTTTAACAATGAAATAGAAATAATCTAGACAATTCAATGAAATATAAGTTTTATGATGTTTAAAGTCCACTAATTAGAGAATTTAAAGGGTATATGTCTTTTAGAATCTTGAATATTACATAACATCTAAAAAAATCAACCTATAACTAATACTACACTCTAAATTTTTGGACCCTATACAAGAGTGGGCTCCGGTGCCAAGCACCTATTGCACCTCCTAAAAGACGGCCCTGAAACTAAGTTCACTATGATCACAATACCACACATAATAGTGTGATAGGGTAGTTTTCATTTTAAAATAAACTAATAGGTCAAATAATAACTCACAAATGACTATCTTTCCGTTTTGAAAACTTTATCTATGTTCTTTAAAACTCTCCAAACACTTATTTTTCTATTAGAAGATTGTGTTTATCGTTCCACATTTCACCATGTTTTTCATGTTTTTGTGCAACATATAAGTTTAAAAGATGTGAATTTTATTGTTTGCTATAACACTTTTTTGAAGATGCTTTAAATTTGTAAGATGTTTTTAGAAGCAACTCTTAATAGTTCTCAGAAAACATCAATTATTTATAACAACATTTAGTCAGGACATCATGGTGTAATGTATATAGTACTACATCAAACAACATGGTGTATACTACATCAAATAGTGAGCTGTTATCAAACAACGCACACGGTGTACACGTACTCTATAATGTCAAAACGCGAGGTATGATTTTAGGATTATAGTACTTTATTCCTATTTATTAGAGAAAAAAATCTTTTAAGAATAAGACTTTGATGTTATTATTTTCCTATTTAGAGAAAACGTATAGTAATAGTATTTTAGAAGTTCACAATATTTTTATTTGAGAGATTTCAATTGAAGAACACAAACTTGGAATTGTTTCCATTTCATTTGATAAAGTGTTCGGGCCCAAACCCACGACCCACATACTCATAGATATACAAGCGGCCCAAGCAAATAACCTGGAGTGTCTCACCCACATGGGCCCCTCGGCTAGATGAGGGTCCATACCAACAAAGTAACAAGGAACGGTAATGGGACTACAACACCTCGGGCAGAGCTCATCGGTAAAAGCCCTCAACCTCCAACACCTCATACTAGATCACCTCATGCAATTACTCAGCATATGACCAACGAAACCATGCGTCACATTATGTCGCACAACAGATCAGTGCTCTTGATGATAGACTAGCTTATACGTGTACGTGCATTTAATGCACCTATCATTTATTACTAGTATAAATAGTCCATCGAGACAGATGTAAACGATTGAATAATTCATTATTTAACATATCATTTTCTTTCTCTAGCTCTCCTCTCTTTAGAACATATAGTCTACCACACGATCATCATTATTAATTGTTTTTTCACATTGGATCCAAATTTAGAATGTTTTTTATTTGAAATGAAATTTTCTGATTTGATTTGGAACAGAAACCAATTCAGATAAAAAAACAAAAGTATTTGATTTGGAATAAAATATAGCAATAATTCCAAAATAGGATTATGCCTTTTTTATTCCCAAGATAGGAGCGTCCATTCCTATTCTACCCTCCCCACATTTAATTCTTTCTCTTCCTATTGTGACACGCACATCCTCTTTTTTTCCACCCATCTTTTCTTTCCAACTAACCTCTCTCCTCCCCATCATTCATTTCTAATAATTTTCTGTCGCCCCATCTCCTCTTCCATCCCTCTTCCTCAATCATTCATCATCTCTCCCTTCTCCATTCTTCACATCTAATTTTTTCAAGATGGCAGCCGATTTAGATCTTAGCCAAATTAACCAGAAGCAACCATGAAAATAGGTCGGCTAAGCTAAAAGACGGAAGCTACTGGGCGGCTTTAAAAGTTCCGGCGAAGGAGGCGGAAGCACCAGCTCACCCCAGGCAAGCCGGACTGGTATGTATTCCTCTTCTCCTGTCCTCCTCCTCTTCCTTCCACCTCTCTTTTCTTCTTTTTTGATTTTTTCTTATTCTCCGTTAATTATTTTATTTACTTTGAAAATTTGTATTTCGTAACTCGAATGACCAGTGAAAAAAAGTTGGATCCAATTTTTATTCATTAATTTTGATTAATTTATTTTAAACTTCAAAATTAACCAATTTGCAACCAAAAATGGCACTTTTTATGGAATTAAAGTTTGTATAATTTCATTTTTTAAAACCTTTTTGGAAAATAAAGTCCTTTTACATTTATGAAGATGGCACTCACTTTACTATTTTTTCTCATATTTTACATTTTAAGTTTTAAAGAAAATATCTTTGTATGGAAATGCCTTAATTTCATATGAGAATACCATAATTTTGAATTTGGGAGTTATATACGTAAGTGCCATGTTTTATATCTGTAAGTGCCATTTTATATCTATAAGTGTCATGTTTTAAATCCATAAATGTCATGTTTTTATACGTTAATGCCATTGTTACTTCTAACATGGCAATACATAGTATTTCCTCACTTTTATGAAGATGGAAATCTAACAAATTAGAGATCAACAACTAACTGTCCGAATCAGTAAGACAAGAAAGATCCAGATGAGGAACCGCCCTAGTGCGGCGGTGGGAGAGCAGATGGCGGCGGTTCTATAGAGTGCAGTAGCGCCAGAAGATGGAGGCGGCAGACGGCGACGGTGTCCGCCGCCGCCAATGGCACCAGAGATGATGGTTTAACCGTCGTGCTGCGGTGGGAGAGCAGATGGTGGCGGTTATACACAACGCAGTGGCGCCGGAAGATGGAAGCGGCAGACGGCACCTGCAGTCGGCGGAGGTGGTGGCCGGCAGTGGGGGCGGCCGCCGGTGGTGACACCAGAGATGATGGTGGTTCGGCACAAGATCTTGTTCGATCGCATGTGGACTGCATCTGTGTAAATTTTACTCCGTATTTTATTTTGTACTCAGTAATACTGAGTATTAATTATTAATAAAAAAGTGAGATTTGTTCTGTAAGGGTAGTTATGTCAAGACAGATCTTTTTACTCCTATGAAACATTAAGGTCCTATTATTGCATTTTTATCATTATTTACTCTTAGATAGGGAATTATCTCTATTAATACAATGACCAATTATTCCTTGCTTTGTTACCGAATAAATCACCATGGTTATTTTGTTCGGACCGTTGTTTAGAAATCAATTAAAAGCTGATTTACCTGTGAATTTTGGAGCAACAGTGCCCAATGTCAACTTAGAAAATTTGAGATCAGCTATAAGGCGGGAACGGTGCTCCTGAAGGGTTGGCTCCACTTTTGTTCTAATCACTCCTGCTGATGCCTATGCTTCCCAAATATAATTCATATGCAAAGTTCTTGAAAATTAGAGCACGGTGCAAATGTGATATGAAAAATAATCATATAATTATTAACAAATAAATTACCATTCTCCATATTTGGATGATTTTAAAGAATTTTGGTAAGTTTTTATTCACAATAACAAGAAGATCCTCCAAATTCACTTTTTTATATTTTTTCTTTCCTTTTTGAATAGTAATATTTTGACTTAGTATAACAGTCTAAAATGTTTCAGACATTCACATTACTAAGGCATAAAAACATGAAAAGATTCATAAATATGGCTAAGATGTATGAATTGAAGTATATAACATTTCTATAAATGAAACTATCATTATCTTTTAGAACTAAAAAAGGATAGATTGAATTGCTTAAAAAGAATTACTAAATGCTTTTATCCTTTATTTAATTAAGAAACAATGAAATACATTTTTTTTGCCAAAAAAAAACATTGGTTAGGTTAAATTAAAACAGTACGTAGTATTATTAAAAAAAGATCATATTATATACTACGTATATAAAATAGGTCTCGATATATATTTTCTATATAAACATCAACTTTTGTAACTTCTACTAGTATAGTGCATAATTATTAAAGATAATATTGGTGAAAGTGAAACTTAGCTCGTATATATTATTAACAAATTTGAAAGTCAAATCAAAGAATGGGAATCATTAATATGTCAATTACCTCGTTAATATATGGCCACAGCTTCTCAAGATTGTGATTAAGCCATTCTAACTGTAATTAATTAATTAACCAAAAGGAGAACGTACTTCAGTTCAATTATTACCCAAAACATCAATGGTGATTAATAGTTTGTACATATAGGCAAACAGATCCATATTCAACTCAACTTTTGTCTTTGTGCGAGGACAATCCAAGAAGGGTATGTTTCAGCAGAAAATAATTTTCTTAAATCTTCAATTGTCATTCTTGAAAATGCAGCAATTACTTTTGCCTGAAGAGATAAATCAAGAAAAGAAAAAAGTGTCACCAAATCATTGAAACAAGATAATAATAGAATATTCGTGTATTGAGGTCAATTAAGAAGGTAGAGCTTCTAGATATCTGATATCTCTAAGAAGACATTTGAAGATGTAAAATAACTAATTACTTTGCATGAGAATTGATTACAAATGAATGCTAAAACTAGAGAATAAAATGAAATTATACTGAGTATTGATTATCAAAAAAGCATATTGAAATTATGAGCTCAATAAATCACCAAAAATATAAGAAATGCAATTATATATATATAAAAGTGTATGTGTTTGTGTATAAACATTTGTAAATTGATTAACATGTTTTTCCTTGGATTGAAATTTATTGATTTGGTCTGGTTTGCTTAAGTCTTTCTGGTCTGATCCGGTAAATGTTTTAGTATTTATATATTTTATGATTATGGAAATCTAATTTAGTCTAGTCTATTCTGTCTAAGTCTAGTATGATCTGTTTAAGTCTGATTTGATTTGAGGGAAAACTATCCAACTAAAAACATCTTTATCTTGCAAGTAGGGTCCATACCAACTCAATGCGATTTTCGGACCTCGTATTCTGAACTCTTGCAAAACAAGCTACCAATCCGACGCCCATTGCAGCTCCGATGAATACAAAAACAATGAAACCCATTATAATTTATTAATTAAAGTAAACCCAAAATTCCAAACTAGTGTATCAGCCGTAGTGATAAGTTTGCTTGGGGCGGTGGCCGGCTGGTAGTAGCCAGCTCGGCGGTGCATAGGCCGGGGCGGAGGAGGAGGAAGACGACAGATTAAAGCTAGAGTAACCGAACATTATGAAAGAGATCAGAAAGCGCTAATTGATTGATTATACTTGGTATTCATATTCTTTCCCCGAGTAAGCTGTTATAGAAAAGGTCAGGCAAGAAATCAATTCTTTTCTTTATCTTGTTGGTGAGCACTTGATATATATTCGATAAATACTCCAATCTTTAATTTAATAATCATTAATAAATTTATAAAATCACACTAAAAATGTGTAAATTTTAAAATATATATTTCGTATAATTTATTCTTATAATTTATAAATGATCAATAAGCTCAAGTCTGGACCGAACAGGACATCACCACACCGAACTCGGCTAGAATAATTATTCGAACTAAAAATCTAGCTCGTGTTTGAGTCTGAAGGACGTTAAGCTCCGCTCATTAAATTAGATTCGAAATTAAGCTTGAACTCGCGGAGTTAGTAAAAAGTTCGGTTCGATAACCTTAAGCTAAAATTAATTAGAAATGAACCCTTTTTTAAGGTGTTATAAAAATGATCATTGAACCTTTTTTTCTTTATTCTATCCAGAATCAATCATTTTATTCTTAATATTAATTATTATTATTTTTATAATAATGTATTATTAATAATATTATTATGCATGTTAGTTTAGACAAGAAGAGAGTTCTACATTTTTTTAATTAAAAATAGATCCACTTTAATTTTCGGCTTCCAGGTCTTCAAAAATAGAGGACTCCTCCTGTCCCGAGAGATGTCATTGTCATGCATGCTTGAATTTAGTGTATGGTTTATCTGAATTAAATTCCATTTTTTCTTAATTACGCACACCATTTGCTTAATTATATGATGCATCATGGTTGTCATCAACATGAGACTGAAAGGAACAGTTATGTCATCAACCAGAGGCATAGCTTGAGGGCTAACATAAGCCCCGGCCCACCCCAATATATATTTTCAATTTGATTTAATTTTTAAGATAAAAAATCGTATAAAAAAATTCCCAAAAATATTCAATTTATCTATAAACGTCGTCCTGCCTCCGCCATGCATTGTCGATGACTTGTAGAGAATATTACGTTATATGGAGTAATAAACAAACAAGTGTTTCATGATAAGCAAGTTGGTAGGACTTAGGATATAGAAACAACATTATGTACTTGGTCGAAGTACATTGGAACGGACTAATCTCAACTATTTTCTGGTCTTAGCTGGATTATTGCTCTTTTTAGCTTTATTGGTCCACATACCATAGGACTTAGGGGTGAACCGGTTCCGGTTCGGGTCCGGCCGGGCCTCGGTTCATGAAAGGGGAGGCCCGGAAACGGTCCGGGTAACCCCGGGTCCGGTCCGGGCCTCGGTTCTTGTATTTTTTTTTGGCTTTTCCTAATTAACCCCCAACCCTCCCCCCTCACCCCCAAACCACTCCAAACCACCTCAAATGGCCCATCATACCCAGCCCAACCCAAAAACTTAAAAAAAAAATCAAAAAAAAAAAAATGGCCCGGACCGGGCCCGAACCGGCCGAGCCGGTTCACAATTTAGGAGGCCCGGGCCCAGCCCGTCTACCTCACCGGGCCACCCGGCCCGAACCGGGCACCAACCGGTTCACCGGGCCGGTCCGAGCCCGCACAGTAGCGGGCCGGTCCGATTCCGGGCCGGTTGGCCCGGCCCGAGTCCACTCCTAATAGGACTTGGGTTTCCATATAAACTACGTAGTATTAAAATAAGTTGGAGATAATCTGATGTGCACGTACTCACTATCTTACTTGTGTTCATTTTTCTGTGCAATAGAATTGGTGATATCACTACAATAAAATCACTGCAATAGAAATGCCAAATTCGTGCAAAAAACACTTTGGCTTGAGCTATTTGACACGAAAAATCGATAAGTCCGTGTCAAATTCCGTGTCAATCCTGTAATTTGTCATACAGATTCTTCTCTAAGTTTCACAGAGAACTTGACCAGTCTTTCTATATTGTATGTTCTGTGCCTTTTTTTTAAATAACTAATTTGTTATTAATTAAAAGATAGCATTCACCGGTCCGCTCATTTTCTTGATGGTAAGTACATCGTATTTTGATATGAATGTAGTTCAATATGCAGTTTGTGTAGTATTTAGGTAGTATTTAAGATTTGTTCATAAGAATGATGAATAAGTGATTTGTTGCTTAATTAGAGTTTCTTAAAGTGCATTTATAGTTACATGAAATTGCATTTTAAGGCCACACATGCTTAATTTTTTTTGTGTCCTTCAAATGACTCCAGAGTCTGCATCAGTTACAAACTGTGAAAGTTCTTGACCAGCACCTGGTTTTACCCGAGGCACATCCCAATCAATTGCCTTCGGAGCCGCATACACAAACTGTTCATCACCTCTTCCCGTAACAGTGCACTAGAAACTCGCCAACTATGAGTATTGTTAGTCTTCTCATCAGCAAGGAATTGATTGGCATCCAACAACCATGTGTGGACCTGCTGCTCTGTTATCTGCAGAAAAACAATGACGTCGTACACCAACTCCTCCAGGTTATGCACAATTAACTTTAAATACCTCTTGCTGCCCAAAATTGTCAACATGAACTCAAATAAACTTTCTGAAAGCCTTCTGTGTGCAAAAGCAGCTAAGAAAAGAGGAACTGGAATATTATGTAATTATATTTATATAATTATATAATATAATTATATGAATTCATTGATTTATTGATCATATATTGCACTTCTCTTGAATATATATTAATTAGTGTACTTTTAAATAAAGAAAACACATAGAAGATCATTGCTAACCTCATCTATATGTTGAGTTGTAGTGTTTGTGAACATTCAGGAGCTCATCCTGCCAATCCTCATCCGTAAGAGTACTTGCACATACAACAGGAAGTCGAGGAAAGTGGCGAATGAAAAAGTCATAAATCTTCTCATAACTATCACCTATTATGTGCTGACATTTGGGAAAAGAACAACATAAAAGAGAAATCATTATGAGAATTTGGATTTGGATGTGACATACTTGAACAGAAAATTGAACTACTAGTCTACTAGGTATAGATAATAATATTTAGAAAGCATTTCATATTGTTAAAAAACAATTGGGTTTATCATTAAGCTTTCATATTTGTAATGAATTGTTAAAGCAATTCATTGATGATATATAGCACCTCCCTAGAATATATATTAGTCTCTTCATGCATGTCTCCATAAATGTTTACAACAAAATTGCAGCCAATTAGAAAAAGACAGTAAGAAAGGAATTTCGTGTCATTATCAATAAAAGCAAAGTATCTCAATTAAGATTGAAGTATAAATAGGTAGGGACATTTATACCTTTGTATCGTCCCGAGCGTGCTCAACTTTATTTCCGAAGAGAACCACAAGGCTTACCAGGCTTTTCCCATCACCCAAGTTCCCTAAGACGTCAATTTCTTCATCGGTAAACACTGGAATTCTTTCTCTTGTTTTTGGGTCCTCTTTTGTATCCCAAAACTTAGTGAAGACTTCTCTCTTCCTTTTCTCAAGCCTATTGCAAAGGTCAAACTGGTTTGCATCTTTAACTAGTGAAGAGAGAGCGCACATGAAATGGACCCAGGCTAATTTCGAGAAAAAGAAAAAGTGGTTTATTACCCTTTCTATGTGGAAATTCGGATCAAATAGTACTCCTGATAGTACTCCTATGATCTCTTCCTCATCAGGCATTAATTCCATTTTCAGCTCTCCAATTATACAACAATTAATAATAACTCTCCTTAAGTCGATTATGTCATGTTGAACATTGACAGGATCATTGCTATATTGAGGGGGGCACAATTTTATAAGTCTGCCACGCAACGCAGATCTTCTATAGATACAGATCTTGGCATCGTCAATCTTCTGCCGCCAAACATTATTCTCACCAACTGCGTATGTTTTTCCTTGACAATGAATATTATTCAACTCGAATACAATATCGTGCAGGATTCTTCTATAAACATCTCGCGATAACCTCCACGAGCCGTTAATCCATGCTACCTCGTCCTCATTTAGCAGATTGTAATGTAGCAGATCTGACACAAATTCAGATCTAAAAAACTGATCGAGAGTTCCTAAATCACGCATCTGTCGTCCTTTACCTTAAGCTTTCGGTGAATCAACTCATTAAGCTCCACCAACATTGAAAAGGACATTCATCAACCCCTGAGCATAAAGAAAAGGACATCCATCAAGTGATGCTTAAGTGAATAGCTTATGTTGAATACTTTATTAGATTTTGCGCAGGTTCATCCGTAAGAACACTTGCACATGTTGAATAGCTTAAGTGATGCTTTTATTAGTAGATGGGTTTATACAATGTTGAATAGCTTACAATGTTGAACTAACCTCATCTATAGCTATAAGCTTCCGTCCAGTCTCCTTTCAAACTTTGTTCCGATCGACAGCGACCGCGACCGCGACCGCGACCGCGCCCTACTTTCAACGCAAAAAGGGCGGTTGTCTCCTCAGCCACTTTGTATTTGTCCTAATTCCTCTGTTCATTTCAAACTTTCTGGTGGTCTTGTTTATCAGTACACTATTTTGCTCGATCCATCCATACGGATTAGCCAGGTTGGTCTTCACTCCTTTCAGGGCCTGGCATAGTAGCAATCCATCCAGCGGCATAGGGCCCAAAATAAGATCCAGAAAAAAATAGTCAACTTTATGAGTCACTGCCAACCCTTTTGCCCATATGAAATCGACCAAAAAGTCCAAATACCCCAGCCGTTATTTGTAGCCGTGCAGGTCTCTTGAGTTTCAAGTCTAGATTCGCACCATTAATAATTTAATACTACATCCATCCCTTAAAACTTTATCAAAGTTTACCGCCACGGAGAATAATAAAGTAAAAAATGTGTGATTGAGGTTTGTGCAGAGGATAGAGAAATAACAGAAACCACAAAAAAATTGATTAAAAGGGAAAGTGGCAAAGTTTTTTGGGACGTCTAAAAAAGGAAAGATGACAAAGTTTTAAGGGACAGAGGGAGTATGAAATTAGTTATGAATGTTGGGGTATATCACGCAGGGGGTGATAATCGAGTATTTGGATGACTTAAAGATCATGTAACTTCACTTTCCGATATGTTATTTCTCCCCTATGTCTGGGTTACAAAAAATTCAATCTAGGATAATCTTGAAGGACACTCTAGAACTTAGGCACAAGAACTAGAGCCAAACTAGTCGAGTATATGGATTGTTATCTTTAATTTCAGTGTCAAATTGATGAAGATATGTTGAATATGTTTCCTCCTACTCCTTTGTACGAAATATGGTGATATATATCCATATTCACCGTCCTAGGCAGTTGCAACACGTTAAAGAATAACCGCAGCAGTTTTTTGGGAAACTACTGGAAACTGCCTAACCGTTCTAGAACTCGGTCTAGAACCACAGAGCTGGTCTACTGAAAGTTATACCTCGAGTTCTACCTCGAGTTCCACTAACGTAGACACTTTGGAATTAAACTAGTTCTTATATACAAGTGTGCACTACAGGCCTACTAACTTGTATTAGATCATAGTTCTAATTCTCATTGGCACTCATTTCATTTCCAATTACACAAAACGATCGGTGACACTAAAATCACCAACAATCCTCCCCCATTTTAGTGTAACTCATGAAATCAACTTTAGCTCTTAGTTTCTTTGGTTCAGAATAGTCGGCTGTGCACCGAGTTAGAATCGGACCGGAACCGGACCGGACCGGAACTGGACCAAAACTGATTTTTTAGAAATTGTAGAACTGAAAACCGGTCTGGAATATATCTGGTTTTGCCCAGAACCGGACCGGTTCAAGTTACAAACCGGACCCGGACAGGAAAACCGGTAATGTTAAAAAAATGCAATTTTTTATTAGCAATTTTGACTTCAACCCAAGCATTCTACATTCTTAAACTTTTTGCAAAATTAAACAAGATTCCGGACTCCAAGTCACAAACAACAATATTAATTGTTCTAAATGATCAACAACACAAAGAATTCAACACAAACATTCAACATTTGCTAAATAAAAATAGTTCAAACAGTTCACAATAAAAAAGTTCTCCAATCTTCATCTTCAAGTAACATAAACCAATCTTCATCTTCAAGTAACATAAACAACTTCCACGGTAAAGCAATTGGTGTCTTCCACGTCTACATAATCACACAAAATCTATATTAGCAATTTATAGCACAAGTGTTGGCATTTTGATTATAACTCTCATAAAGCCACAATATAATTTTTTAACTAGTTTAATTTCATACTTTCAACATTTTTATTTGAACTAGTATTTCACCCGTGCGTTGCACGGGATGTAATATGCACCTATTATAAATGTTAATTATAAAACATTTACAAATCATACTTTTATTTGTCATATCAATAGAAAAATTGTAAATAAATAATAATAAATATTAGAAGTTTAATAAGCACACAAATTTCAAATTATTGAAGACCTTATAGACAATGTTTTTTGTAGTTTTTTTAATGTCTCTTCGTCGCATATTACGAACTTTAAGTCAAACGGTATTGTCACACTCAAACCCGCAACATACATATGTTCACGTCTAAAGAGAGGATGTGAGTTAAAATTCTAACGGTTTCCCACGATTGCCCTTAATTCTTGCCTATTTTGAAAGAATATTTGTCACCTTTTGAAACTATACTATTTTACACATTTAACTTTGAACATATATAGAGTGTATATGTTAATCATGCACTACACAATCTTATTTAAACAATTTATGACCTTCCCTTCTGGTTTATTAAGACAATAAGCTATAACTTAATGAGTCAATTTGTGGATTAAGATGCTTAAGAACTTCCTTATACACATCAGAAAACCTATGTCTAGACATGAATAAAAAATAGGTATAGATTATTATCTATAATGCATATATAGAAGTTTCAGTTAAATATTTTCAAAAGTAAATAAAAATGATTAATTAGTAATGAAAAAACCTCTACTGTGTGTGATGGAGTATATGGCCCGGGAACCCCCGGCCCACAGACTCCTACTACTCCAGCGAAGGCCCAACAGGCCCGGAAGGCCCAACAGGCCCAGATCACAGCACCCAGAGTACCAAGCAGCCCGCACTACGCGCCAGGGGTGCCTTCGGTCCCCTGGCCGAAGGCTCTAAACTCTCACAGAACGGGTTTCTCAAGCAAATTAAGAAACTGGGAGAAAAACGGCGAAAACAGTAGCCCTGGGCACTGTGAGCCCTCGGCACCAGGGTGCCATCGGTTGGAGGAGCCCTCGGCTACTGCTCTATAGCCGAAAGCATCTTACTCGACAAGATATCCGCCTCACATGCGTACAGATCACCGTACCCTGCACAGACGTCCCATCCAACAGCCGCATTAAATGCGGCCACATGCGGCTGCCAGCGCCAACCAGTTGAGGTGACCCCTCGGCCAATGAGCGCTTGACACGTGTCCCTGTCCGGCATTTATTGCTACTATAAATAGCACCCCATTTCCCCATTTGTAACCACGACATTCATACTGAATACACTCTCTCTCTTATTTACTCGTGCTCTGACTTCTCTCTAAGTTATTCCCAGCAATAACCCTTCGGATATATACCCCGGGTAGACTATCCATCATTTGGTGCTCTCGTTGAGAGGTCGAACAATCAAGTAAGAAACCCTCCCCCTCGACAAAACACAAAACACCTAGCTAAAATGGTGAGAACAACACGTGCCAACTCAAAAAACGTAGAGGACAAGAACCTGGCCCTCGGCGACGTCAACGCCCCCGAAGCTTCTCACAGGGCTCCCGAGGGCGGTGTCATCGCTGGGCTGGAACAGGCGGCTGTCGACCTACGCCTTCAGATCCAACAAAATGCCCCCGATGCCCGCCTCGGCATCGAGGCCAAGAAGAAAAACCGGAGCGATGACCAAGTCAGCCCTCCGGTTCTCACCATCGACGTGCAATCGGCGCTCTCCGCCTTCATCCAAACGCTCACTCAGAACCCGGGCGCCTTCGGCACCCTGGCTCCGGCTCACCCCCAGGTTGGGGAAAACATCATACTTCCCCCTCCGCCACACCCCTTCGGAAATCCCACCCCTCGGGTGAGGAACGACGAAGGGGTACTGGCCCAGGACACGTCCTCCCAGGAAGTACAGTCCCGGGATCGCCACAATGACAACAGGGAGAGGCCCCGCACTTCCGCCCTCAACCGGCTCGGAGGAGGGCCAGACCGCCGAGGGGTCCAAGACCGCCTCGGAGGAAAGGCACTCCAAAGGCCCCAAGAAAGTGGAGGGTCTGTCTCGAGGGCAGACGAGGAGCGTCCCCCTCGGGACAAGGGCAAGGCACCCCTTCATGCCAATGATGCTCGCCACCAAATCAACCAGGCCCACTCGGCCCGGGTTCGTTCGCAGGGGGCGGAGACCCTCCCGAAGGATCCCCGGGACGAGATTATTGCGGCCCTCCAACGCCGGCTTGACGAAATGGAGTCCAACAAAGCTCACGCCACCACCTCCACCCCTCATTCAGATCTCAAATACGAGGCCATGATGGCCAAAATAGAGGAGTTACAGAAGAAGGTGGCTGAGGGCTCCGGAGAACCCGTCATCCAGCTCCGGACTTGGACGCCATTTACCCCAAGGGTATTGGCGGCCCGGATCCCGGAAAAATACCGAGGGCAACACATACAGCCCTACAACGGGAAAACGGACCCCCAGGAACACTACAGCAAATACCAGAACAACATGATGATGGTAGGGGCGTCAGACGAATATTTGTGTCGTTGGTTCCTCTCCACCTTAGAGGGGCCGGCGTACGAATGGTTCAACAGGCTGCCCGAGGGCTGCATTGATTCGTGGCAAGAACTCGCCCAGCGATTCTTGACACAATTTGCCGGGAGGCGTCGCACGAGGAAGCACTTCTCCCACCTCCTAACTATACGCCAAAAGAGGGATGAGACCCTTCGGGACTTCCTGGAGCGCTGGAGGACTGAGGCCGACAAGGTCGACGGTGATGATGACGGGACCCTCCTGGCCCTCCTACAAACCGTCCTCCGCACCGGCAACTTTTCAAGGAGCCTCATCATTGAACCCCCCCGCGACTACATAAGAGCTTTGTAGCGAGGGGATCGATATGCTGAGGCCGAGGATGTGGAGAAATATCACCAGCATCAGGATCAACAACCCCCGAGGGCTGACAACAAGCATAACCGAGGGCCGGGGGCTCCTCCAAATCATCCCAAGGCTTCAGGACCCTCTGATGACCGCCCTCGGCAAGGTAAAGCCAAACCCGGGGGAGGTTATAAGAGCAGCCCTAAGACTTGGGCACAGCCCATTCTCCTGGACCGCCCTCAGACACCATTGACGCACCCCGTCAGCATCATCCTCGATTTTGCCGAGGAGAGGGGCCTTGTTGAGCGCGACTCTCGCGCACCCCCGGAGGTACACGCTATCAACCCTCAGTTCCCATACTGTCGCTTCCATCGGCACCAGGGGCACAGAACCGATGATTGCCATCAGCTGAAGACGGCCATCGAGAGATTAATACAAGCGGGACACCTGTCCCAGTTTGTTCAGAGCCCTCGGCAGGAGGGACCTTCTCATCAGGGGCCT